CAGGAAAGAAGAATTCAGATTCTGTGTCTGTGACCTTATTTATCAAACAGAACTAGAGAAATGAGATAAAGTAGTATTGTGTGGGGCTATCCCTTGAAATTCAGGCTTCTGAGAAAGGCTGTGAGGCTGAAAACAAAGGGAAGTAAGTTTGACAAAGACAATGAGTGACAGCATGGGCAAGCAGAAAGGAAAGTATCTGGGACCAGGAAAAGTTTATACTGTCAGAGCCAGATCCTTGACTCACATGTGGTTCTCTGCAGCTGTTTCTGAGTACAATGGTACTTTATAGCCAGCACTCTCAATTTTTTGGAATAAGCTAAAGCAGCAGAAACTTTATTGCCACTACAGGTGTTGGAGGGCAACTAGACCAAACAGTAGGACAAAACTATTTCATGAATCTTCTAATTTATTACTCAACTGGTATGTTCCAGCACAGGAGAAAAATGACAAGTTCCTGAATTTATGTTAATAAATCTCTTTTCCTTGCGCCAAACCCAATAAATAACAGTTTTGTTTCAAAAGGTAAATCATAGCCTGCCTGTGATATACTCCACCAAATTTCTCCACAGAAGTCCATGATATATTACTTCTATTTATATAAAACATAATGTCTACTTTTGAGGCATATTAAATAGGCATGACTAAGGCAACAATATATTACTCTTTCTAATACACAGAGAAGCCAGATAGCTCTTCCATCCTGACAAAGCCTGAGAAATCTCTCAGTAAATCTGCAACCAAGTAATTAGAAGATTAGCCCAAGAATCAAAACTCTTCTGCTAACCTTGTTGACTGTTTACTGGCTGAAGTTAGTAAATTCTTCATGATGCATAGGTGGGTGGGATTGGCAAATTAAATGGATTATCCTGCAGGTTTCCTAACCATGAAGTATGATTTTCTCACTGTTTGATACCTGTTATTCATATCTAACAGGGTGGGAGTGAGACAGCAAGAACTGTGATTGCATTTGCAATCACAGAAAAAGTAGTATGTAAAAGTATAACACACGTATTCCCTAATTTACTGTTGTTTATAGCTCAGTTCTTATAGTTAGGTAGCAATAGAGGGTTAATATTAATGAATCATTTAAATAATTAGCAGTTATGACCCTAGGTTGGAAGTAGCTAAAACTGAAAATCTATCCAGTAGCACAAGGCAGCACAGTTTTATGGTTGAGCTCGTATGTGAAACCTTGATTGCTGTTATACTGACCAGAAAACATATCAATTTTGTAAACTGACAGAGGAGGCAGAGGAAGTCATGTAAAAATGAAATGAAAAAGTTAGAGTTCTACTGTGAATTTAGCCCTGCTTAAAGGAACTCTGACACACCGACACATGGGCACCGACAGTGGCACTTCCATAGAGACTCATCCCATCTCTAAACATCCAACAGGCCTTGTTCCTCTTCTCTCAATGGTCAAGGCAACCTATGTGCTGTCTAAGTAAGAAGCCAACACTAGAGCTGATTGTTCATTTGAACAGACTGATGTGACTCAATTTCCTTTTGCACTCAAATAACAAACTAACTTAAAACCTACTTTACAGGGCTGAGTTGAGTTTTGAGTGTTTTTTTTTTCTTTTAATTTAATTGAAGAACCTGAAGATGAAAGGTTAGCACACTGAGCAAATTCAACATACAAGCTTCAAGAAATGTTTCAAGATGAAAGCGACTCAGAGGTATGAAAACACTGAGAAGTTCAGTTTCTGGCCTCCAGCAGTTTTGGTGCCAGCCAACAGCACTATCCCCAAGGAGACAAGAGAATTATCTATGCAACATCTTTGCTGGGTTCTGGCCTCATTTTACATCCAAAGAGCTCGGACTGGACTCATCAAGGTAAGACAGTGCTCAAAGATCTCAGTTTCAGAGTCTGATTTGACTCTGTCTGGAGTGCTGGCATTTGTGACCATTTGAGGAATGCAATTTCTTCAAGTCTTCTCTTGATTATTACTTGGTGTGTCAAGTTTTGTGGATCACTTCAAGTCCTGTGCTCAGAGCATAAGGTAGCAGGCATTTCCCTGCTTCACCCAGAGGCTGTGGGTGTGGTTTCATGATCATTCTAACCCAGGGAAACCTGCCGTTCCTGACACCCAGGCTGTTTGCTACCTTCCTGTGCGTTTCTGCAGAAGTGGTGGATTGTTTTGCCATCCAACCACCATCACTACAATGTCAGGCAGCAGCCTGTCACTATGTGGGATTAAGTGATGCTGGAACCACACCTGGTGAGTACCATTAATCATGCAGCTGTTCTCCTTTAGTGCTCTGATGGAACAATTGCACTGTTCTTTTATCACAAGCCCACAAGTATATGGAGCATCCAAAATGGGCATCCCTCCCATTCTGAATCCTAGTCTAGATAAAATGGTAACTGTTCTCTCAAAGCTTTCAGAGTTTATCCAGAGGCTATCTCACAGACCACAGGCTGCTGTTTGTACGTTCTTTCTCACCCTCACAACCCTTCCTGTTTCTCTTACTGACCCTTTTCTTTTTATTTTTAGTCTTTGTATCTCTTTACTTCTATCTCTTTACTTCTCTTTCACATCTTGTTCTTCCTAACACTGTAATTAATACAAAAGGAGCCTCTCAGAGAGAATCATCCTCTCATCCACAGCAGAAGATGATTTCATGATGGCAGGATCAATATTAGTTCAGCCCTGCTGGAATTGGTTTTATGTTATTGCTCACAAAACTATTTGAGTAGTGATGACTCTCATTGAAGTCTACTTTTTTTTTCCCCAATCGTAATTGAAAAATAAACTGGACTAACATTTTTCTGTTTAATTTCTAGTGAAGAAACTGCTTTTTAATGTCTCTAGAAGAGACCTCACTCAAAGCTTTCCTTTTTAGTGAGCTACCTTATACTAATGATATAGTTTGGGGTCAGCGTTGATGTCGGTGGTTCGGGCATAATTTTCAAGGCCCACTGGCATTTTTATGTTTTTTATTACCAGCAGAAACTCTGAAGTTGCTTTTCATATATGTCTGCAGGTTTTTTTACTTACAGTATTTAAACAGTGAGTAATCTCTGAATTCTAGAAGATCTAATAATATGTTAGAGTGAAATCTTCTGTTAACTGTGCTAAACACTTTGTTATTCCAGCACACTTAGCTTAATTATTAAACATAAAACAAGTTTAGAGGGATACGTGCATGCATAAGGAAAACGTCCTTTGCTTGGTTGTAAATTTCTTCTCTTGATCAGTGGCACTTCTTACTTGTTAAGCAGCAAAATGCAGTAACTTGTGGTAGTTGTATGGGCTCAATGCCCATCTGAGCTCCGAGACTGACCAAATTGTGGGCAGTGGTCCTGACTACCTCTATGGGTCTGTATGGGTCCAAGCACAACGATAGTCTCTGACAGCTCAGCAGCTTTTCAGCATTTCTCTCTGCGTGATCGAAAGAACATTAGATCTTGAACGTTTGAGATTACTATCACAGTGAAGTAAGAGGAAAGGCTTGTTCCTTCCTGTATGTGGGCTGAGAAAACCCTCAGCCATTCTCGGTCAAACACTAATACCAAAGGCTCTTTTTTCACGCTGGTTACTACATATGCTACAGCTGTGTGAAATGGCAAAGGGTGAAGTCACAAAAATAAGAGATTATAAGGTAAAATTCAACTATTTTATTTCTATAAATGGTGAAAAAAATGTAATCTATTTCTGAGTGATATAAAATGTAGGCATTAAGCCATAACTATGATGTTTGGAACAACAAAAAGATTGTACCTTCTTAAAACCATTTTGAAATATTAGCAATATACATTGGAAAATTAATTTCCTTGTAAAACTTTTGTTATAGCAAAGTTTCTGGGAAAGCAAATTTCTCCTGTGTGTCTCTGGACTATTAGGTGGGTATGAATTTTAAACATTTAAATGCTTCTAAGGTCATACATTTTAAAGGGAAGTAAACAGAAAGATTTATATCATTCTTGGCCTTCTAAAGATGCTTTGCCTGATGCTTCATAAATAAGAAGCTTCTCTGAAAATGTTCTGCAGTTTCAGTCTATTACTTTACAGACGAGTGCAACAGAATTAAGAATTGCCTATTAAAACAAGTTTACTGATTTTGAACTTCAAAGGAATCAGAGAGAGATGCTGCCTTTTTAAGAAATGATTATTCAACTCTTACTTTGTTCTTTCAAAACTCTCTTTAAGATAAGGACAGATTTCATTAACAAAGGATGTATCTACCTTGCGTGCTCTCCCCATGTACTTGTACAAAAATCTGTATGCAAGCCCAAACAACTGAACAGTCCACATTTTGCCTTAAATCTAAATAAGAATGTAGCTTTTTGTGACTATCTTCAACAAGGGCCAAAAGTATTATATCTCTCAGAAGATCATTCTTAAATTAACTTCTAGCTTTTATCATTTTTTATGGTCGAGTAGCTCAGGTAAAACTCTGTAGCAAAAATATTTGGAGCTGAAGCAAGAAGCAATTGAATTTTCATCTGCAGATCTTTATTTTCAATTTGCTCTATGTATCTAGAAACAGTTACTACCATAAGGATGTTCAGCACCCAAACACCAATCTGCTAAAAAGATGGCTCAGGTTTTGTCATAGAGCATGTACACATGATAGGTACAACCTCTTCATATTTCAGTATTTTCCCATCTTCCATTTTAGCTTTATAACATGAGTGCAGATTAAACTTGCACAATTTACACACAGACAGTGTCTTGGCTTGTTAAAGTGGTTGAATCTAGAGGCAAATAACTGAAAAAAAATCCTAGAATGCAGTTTAGTAAATTAAAATCTCATTCATAATTATGTAAAATGTGTTTTTAACAGTGAGGCATGGGTTATTGCTGTCATATGCAGTATGACAACAGTTATAAGGTTGTATACTACATGGTATGACATAATTTCAAATACAATTCAGTACAGTATCTCTTCATGAAACTGTGACATTCCGTAGTTAGCGACAAAGGAAGTAACAAAGAAAATGTGTCACTTCTATTTTTCATTTTCAGTAACCTTCAAAAGACGAGTTTAGGAGAATGCCTAACAGCAGCATAACCCAGCAGAATCATTCCTCCAATGACACACTTCTGGACACCTCAGAGAAGCTCTGCACAGTTCTCATAATCCTGTACATAATCAACTTGGCTGGTGGCATCCTTGGGATCATCATGATGTCCCATCAGTTGCTTCAAAGGAGATCACAATCCGTGATGACCATTATCATCATCAACCTCCTGGTGCTGCACACCTTTATGCTACTCAGCATCCCCTTTCGCCTCAGCTATTACATTTTGCAGGAGTGGAAATTCGGGTGGTTTGCCTGCAGGCTGGCGAGTGCCCTCATCTACCTCCACATGTACCTCACGTTTGTGTTTTACATGGCTATCATCATAATCCGCCTCCTCCGGCTCGAGTTTAGGAAGTGCTACACTACAACCTGGGTGGGTGCTGTCTGGCTGGTGGGAGCACTGATCATCACACCTGTTCTTCTTTCGTACTATGGCACCTCTAAGATATATCACCCCTCCAAATGCTTTCAGTTCCACGGGGAGATACAAGAGCCTCACATGGTGATCGCAAACTACTGCTTGATTGGGATTTTGGTGGTAGTTTGTGCTGCGCTCACCGTAATCCAGCTGATGGTGATCTGTAGACTGGCTGTGAAATACTGGCCTGACATTAACTCTCATGTGGAATTCAGGGCTCAGGCAAAGAGTTTCTTCTTCATCTTGATAACATTAGTCTGCTTTATGCCTCATCATGTATTCAGAGTATATTATATCCCAAACTACCACCTTGATAAAGACCATAAACTACTCACATATAATGAAATTTTTTTAGCTTTAACAACAATGTGCTGCTTGGACATGTTGTGCTTCATAGCAGGGATAGCCCATTAAACTGTGAACCACCAGGAAATCCAGTTGCAGTGTGTCAATACTGGCTTTTGGCAGAAATAAAACTGTGTAGCTTGCACAAGCTACTGGTTTTTATCTTCTCTCTTGAAGGCAAACACAAGTCTTACTCTAGACTTTGTCTGATGTCATGCCCTGAAGCTTCGTTAAGATCTTCCTCAGCTGCCCTTCTCTAGCAATGACAGCAAAAGTATCCATTCCTTTTTTTTTTTTCCTCAAAGTGTCTTAGTAACAACAACCTACTGTGATCAATAAGTTGTCTACTCTGAAGGTGTAACAACTTCTGTCAATTATGATACTGAAGGGAAGAGATGGAAGAAATAAATTTCTTTCCAGGACATTTATATTAGTGATTTTTAGATAGCAAGGACATTAAATTTATTTAAATGAGAAGTATTCACAGAATTGGTAAGGTTGGAAGGGACCATAGTGAGTCATTTGGTCCAACCTCTCTGCTCAAGCAGGGTCATCCAAGAGTACATTGTACAGGATTGTGTCCAGAAGGTTCTTGAATATCTCCAGTGACAGAGACTCCACAACCTCTCTGGGCAATCTGTTGCAGTGCTCGGTCATCCACACAATAAAGTTCTTGCTCATTTTCAGGTGAAACTTCCTATGCATCAGTTTCTTCCTGATACCTCTTGTCTATTGCTTGGCACCACGAAAAAGAGCCTGGCTCCATCCTCTTGACACTCTGCCTTCAGATACTTATAGACATTGATGAGGGCCCCACTCAGTTGTCTCTTCTTGGGGTTGAAGAGGCCCAACTCTCTCAGCCTTTCTCATAAGAGAGATGCTGAGATGCTCCAGCAGAGCAGTAGAGATGCTCATCTTCGTAGCCACTTGCTGGAGGGCTCCTCCACTCCAGGAGCTCCACGTCTCTCTTGTACTGAGGAGCCCAGAACTGGACACAGCACTCCAGATGTGGCCTCACTAGGGCTGAATAGAGGGGCAGGATCGCCTCTCTCAACCTGCTGGCAGTGCTCTTCCTAATGCACCTGTATTAGGGAAGATTCGAGATACTGAAATCTTGAAACCATGGCACCATTGAAAGCTCAACAAAACTGAAATTTATTACCAAGAAGTGGCCAACAAAGTGAACAAACCAAAAAGGGAGAAAGGAAGAGAGAAATAAGCCCCCAGCATGACCTCCCCAATTACCCAGCTGTTGCTCATAGTTATCTTACCAACCTAGCATGCCTATAATTACCAGAAGCTGCATCCTTGGAAAGTCAGTAAGTTCACAAACTGGTAGGCGTCCCTGCCAAAAGGCAAAGTTGTCATTGATGTGAAGCTTGCTCTCCTCCAAGAAAGCGCCATCTGCTTTTATACAATTAACTGAGTGACCTCAACCTAGGCTGGCATGGCCAGCACCGCCCAGCCAGAGGCCCTCAGTCCCACCCCCTTCGTTATGGAAGTGCACCTCTTCTGTGCACGCGTGGCTTTCCCTGCGCCCACGTACTGCACTCAGGGGAGTCTTTTCCAAATGAGTCTGGGGGCGTCCTTCATCACTATAGTCTTCAATTTCTCCTTCAAGCAACCTTGGAGAAAAGTTTCCGTTTTATCAGTGCTTGTTTTCTCATAACTTGGCAGGGAAAGAACAAAACTTTCACAGGTGGCTGGGCCGAACACAGACCAAAAGTATCAGTGTAATTAACCCCTGATACAGCACCCCAGGACACTGTTGGCCTTCTTGGCCACAAGGGCATGCTGCTGGTCCATGGACAGCTTTTTGTCCACCAGGACACCGAGCTGCTTTACATCAGGTCAGCCCTCAGCCTGTGCTGGTGCACGGGGTTAGTTTTCCTTAGGTGCAAGACTCTGAATTTGTCTTTGTTGAATTTCAGATGGTTCCTCTCTGCCCATCTCTCCAACCTGTCAAGGTCCCTCTGAAGGGTTGCACAGCACTCTGGGGTATTGGCCACTCCTACAAGCTTTGTGTCATCAGCAAACTTGCTGAGGAGGTGTCTGCCCCTTCATCCAAGTCACTGATGAACAAGTTAAACAATCCTGGGCTCAGTATTGAACCTTGGGTGATGACACTAGTGAGAGGCCTCCAGCTAGTCCCTGTGCCACTGTTTATGACCCTCTGGGATCTGCCATTCAGGCAGTTCTTAATCCACTTCACCTAACTTAAATTCTCAATCCACTAATCTAACCCCCACACAGTAATCTAACTTTAAACAGAGTAGTAGCATATCTCGGCATAATCTTTTTTTTCTTAAATTATATGAAGTGTAAATTTAATGAAATTATATGAAAACTTATCACAACTTCACCTTTACTTGCTTCATTCAAAAACCACAAGCAGCTCACTGAGTTATAATAATTATGTATTTAGAGTGAGTGAGAGCAGAACAGGCCACAGGATTCAAAACTGCCTTATGTCACCCTTCCATCATGACTGGATTTGTGGCTGTTATCCCTTAAGTCCATTGTAGCCAAAGAAATACAAGTTGCTGTGGTTCCATAACTGGATCTGGAATTTAAATTGAGGGGTCTGGTCCTCTACTGAAGGATCAGACACTGTCTAGGAGAAGGAAATATTTTATCAGCCTTCAGAAACTTTCAGCTGCCTGTTGATTTATTATCAGATGCCATATTTTTTCCACTTACACATGTAACAAAACAGAACCCGAATAAACTTACTGAACAGTGTTTAATCTGTTCAATGTATATTCATCTGTGTACACAAACTTGTGCTAGAGTATACATTTTCTCCATTAGGCAGATTATATTCTTTGGGAATTACATCCGTTCCGGGAATCTCTGTTTTGTCTTCATGATTTAAAGGTTCTTTTTAATGATTCATTCTTCTGCTCTGCTCAGTGCAGAAGGTCTCTAACCCTTCTGCCAAAGGCCCCATTGTCATTTGCTGCATCCCAGCAGCTTGAGAACAGATTTCTCCCACCCCAGACTCCTAAGAGTCACACAAGGGTATGCTTCTCCTTCACATCCCCATAAGTTGCCATAATTTTTAGTCTGGCAATCTTTGATACTGAAAGTGCTATGACCCCTGGATTCACATAGATTAAATATTGATTTGGGAGGTTTATAAAATACACTTATATAGTAATGCTACTGATATCTCAGATTGATGACATTTCTTTGAATGCAAGAGCTTACATTTATTCTGTTGATCCTGAATAATTGGGTTTGCCTTGACATTTCCATAAAAATCTTTGTTGAAAACTCGTGATGGTTTCAGGATCCTTTCTGCCTCTTTTAAAAGGTGTGAGCTGTCCAGGGTCCAGCAACAGGTCATCTGAAGTCTTCTGAATATCCTGCCCTTATGGCTTCCTCTACTGTTACCAGGTTCACTCCTGTTCATAAACTAGTTTGATCAGCCCATGATTTTCAAAGGTGGCAGCTAGATGTATGATACAGTACAACAGAGATGAAGTGCAAAGAGGTTTTAAAGTTGGATCTACCAAAGCATTTAGAAAAAGTGGCAGAGCTGTGGATGGTGCAACAAGTACATTGTTTTTCCCTTACCATACTCCTGTGGCTAAATAAAAAAATTTGTCCCTTGAAGAAGTGTTCTGTGTCACTGCCTCTTCTCACTGACCAGTGATTCCAAGGTGACTTACCTGGTCAAGATCAATCACCTGACATTGCTTGTCAGTCTGCTGGTAATCTATCAGTCCACCATTATAGTGTGCAAGTTTGGGAGAGAAAAAGAGAAATTACGTGCATGTCCTCAGCCAGTGGTAACAAATCATGGCTTGATGGCTTTGCCCTTGGCTACTGCCTGAAGTTTCTTACCTGTGCCTGGCTGTGTACCTTGTTGAAATAATCCTGACACACTGACTTGACTTCCTGGAATGATGCTGAAGCTGTGTTGCCTGTCACAGCTGTCTGTTAACCACTAGCTGCTGGCTGGCATTGGACCTGCTCTGCTTGCCTTGCTTGAGTACTACAGAACTGCCCGTGGCACTAAGTCTGGCTGGGATGGAATAAACTTGCACAGCATCAAGGCTTTCTCTCTTTCCCACTCTGCCCCACAGTGCATAGGCTGGGGCTAGACAAGTCAATGGGAGAGAACACGGGGCAACTTACCTGAAGTGGACATAGGGATATTCTATATCATATGATGTTGTGCTTGGCAATGTAAAGTGAAGTGAGCAGAAGAAGATGGAAGGGGATTGAATTCTTTGATGACTTACTCAGAGACTGACTGGACATCAATCTACTTGTGGGAGATAATAAGTGATTTCTGGCCTGTTATTTGTTTGGGTTTTTTTTCTCTTCCCTTCACCTATTAAACTGTCTGCAGCTCAGCTCCTGAATTTTGATTTTGTTCTTCATATTCTTTCCCTCATCCTGCTGGGGGTGGAGGGACAGGGGGAGCAGTAGTGTGAGTGCTCAGCTGCTGGCCAGGCCCAGCCCATCACTTTTCTTTGCCAGAAGATTGGATGTAACTGAAATTTGTATCTGTGGTACTTCTTCCTTGCACCCACAGCCACCCAACCTCTATTATTAACCATTGCAACAATTGTATGGAAAGTGAAGTGCAGCTTCAACTTCTTCTTATAGTTAATAAAAATTGCAAGATATTTTGCACCAAAGCTTCAGGTAGAACTTCATTCTAGTGCTTGCTGTACCATCCTGATCATCACCACTTCTTCTTCCACCCAATAGTTGCTTTCTTTAACCCTACCCATGAACCACAATCCTCTCTGCTTCTTTGCCTTCACCACTGATTTCTCTTTCCTGCATTTTAATCTAAGCTTCTTTTTCTTTTTTTTTTCTTTTTCTTTTTTTTACACTTGACCATTTTCTCTCTGATTCAGTGGCTCAGCCATGTGAGGTCAAACCACTCACTGGTCTCACTATGGTCCTCCTAATTCAGAGGATAATGGATTGAGCATTGATCTCAGTATTGTTACATGTAAGACTCATATTAAAGTGATAAACTCTATTCAGTACCCAGTCCCCCACTGAGATCTGGAAACACTCTAAAAACTGGTTAACATAGAAAATTA